GGCGGAGAGCGAGGCCGAGACCCCCAGCACCCCGGGGGAGTTCGAGAGCAAGTACTTCGAGTTCCACGGCGTGCGGCTGCCGCCCTTCTGCCGCGGGAAGATGGAGGAGATCGCCAACTTCCCGGTGCGGCCCAGCGACGTGTGGATCGTCACCTACCCCAAGTCGGGTGAGGGCCGCGGGGCCGGGGCGGGCGGGGACCGCTGGACGGCGCGCCCGCCACCCAGCCCCGCGCGGCGCCGCCACCCATTCCGCTTCCCGCCCGGTTCCTGCTCGGCTGTGTGACCTTGGGCGGGTCACTCAACCTCTCTGGTCCCGGATCCAGCCGGCCTGGGATGAGCGCGGAGGAGTCTCCGGAGTGTCGGTGGCCATCTGGGGAGGGGGGTGACGCGGGCTCCTTGGCAGCCTGGGCCCTGCTGGGGGATGGGGCCAGCCGTGTCCGGAGGGTGCCCCTCGCGTCCCCGTGCTGCAGGACTGCCTGCATCGCCCACGCAGGACCCGGGGCAGTCACGTTCCCAGCGTTAACCCAGGTGGACAGGAGCAGTCCTGTCGGGCGGAGATGGTCACCCCCACCTTTTCAGTCTGGGCACTAAGGCTCAGAGAGGGGAGGTGGCTTGTGCAAGGTCACACAGCTGTGCGTGGCAGACCTGGGCCGGAGAGCCAGGCTGGGGGCCTCCAGGCCTGCGGAAGAGGTGCTGGCCTGGGGCCGCTGGAGTGGGGAAGAGGGGGACCCCCGGGGTTCCCTTGCTGTTTGGGGAGACGTCTGAGTCGGGGCCACTGTGTGGTTTAGCGGGTGGCTGGCCTCGGGGTTGCCTCTGACCAGCAGCGGGGCAGGAGCTGGGCAGGAGCTGGGGGCTTGGCGTCCTGCTGTGGCGCCCCAGGCCCCACTGGGAAGGCGGGGAGGAGGCTTTCGGTGGAGGGCCCCGGGCAGTCAGGTTGCAGAATGTCCCTGTTCCCTCCGCCTGACCACAGCCTGCAGGCCCTCCTGGCCATTCTTGGGAAGAGGACATGGACAGAGATGGACACGGGCAGCTTGCTGTGGCCAGGGACAGGCCTCCACCACCCACCCAGCGCTTCCACTCCAACCTTGGGTCCCCGTGGGCGGAGGGTTTGGCCCTTGGGAGCAGGTGTGTAGGGCGCGGGTTCTGTAAGGGCCCTGGCCGGGTGGGCTGGCCCTGGGGGTGAGCTGGGCTGTGCTGAGCTCCTGCGAGGAAGATTCAGAACCGTCTCGTGTTGGCTTGGGACAGGATGGCCTGGGCCGGAGTCGCGGGGTCCTTGGCATCGGGAGTCCTAGGATTCCGGGTTGCTGGTGGGGACCGTGGTCCTGTCTTACCTGTTCCGTGGGGGGAGGAGGGGCAGGTCAGGCCCTGTGACTGGGTGTCTGTGCCCCGCTGAGCCCTGCACTCCAGGGACCCTGCGCTGGGGCCTGGTGGGTGCTGCTGGGGAGCTTCCTGGGTTCCTTGAGGGGTCACACAGAAGCACATCGGAGACTCCAGCGAGGGGGGAGCCCCAGCTTCTCTGTCCCCGGGTGAGGCCTGTAGGCCCTGCGTGAGGTCCCTTCACGCTGCACCAGAGAGCCCCGTCTTGGGTGGGCAGCGGCTGTCTGCAGCCCCGGGCCTCCCCCGCCCCGGCTCGCGGCTCCCCGCACCTTTCCCTGTGGTCAGCCAGGGGTGACACCGGCCACCAGGCAGCTCAGCCCTGTCGCTTCAGAGCCCTGGTGCCGGCGTCTCAGGGGTCCGTCCCAAGAATGGGAGTGGCCTGGTGAGGCCCCATTTCACAGGTGGAATTGGAGGCTGCGGGGGTGAGTGACGCTCGGAGCCCAGCTCACGGGCCTGGGACCCTCCTGGGAGGAAGAGTTGCATGCGCAGGACTGTGCTGGCTGCTGCTCCCTGACCTGTCCCCACTCCGTCCCACCTGGCTCCTTTCCACCCACCTCTTGTCGCCGGTGGCATCAGGGTAAAGCTCTCAGGAGAGGGGGTCACGCCAGCTTCGAGTCCAGTGAAGGTGTCATACTCCCCGTCCTGCTGTGTGTGCATAGAGCTGGGGACGTGCAGTGAGCAGGCATGGTGTGCACCGGGCAGAGGACCTTGGACGCCCTCCCCTGTGGCCAGTGGAGCAGCAGGGCAGCTTGGGGCCAGGTCGGGGTGCTAGCGAGGAGCCGGAGCTTTTAGTGGCTCTCACTCAAGTTCACCCTTCACCTGTGCAGGTGTGGAGGCGGTGCCAGCTCGGGGTCCTCAGGCGCTGGTCCTAGACCCCGTGGGAAGGGTCAGGTCTGAGTGCCAGGTGTGGCCAGGGCCAGTCTGCCGGGGTCCTCTACCTTGATTTTAGAACCTCCGTGGAGGCTGGCTCAGTCACACAGCCGCCAAGGGACAGAGGCAAGCTCTGTCCAGGTCTCTTGGTCCGTGGCAGCTTCTCCCCTGCCCAGGGTCAGTGCCTTTGGACAGTCGTGGAGGCCCTAGGGCACTGGCCCTGGGGGGTGGCCTTCTCTCAAGTGTGATTGACCCTGGGGGTCTCGGGGCATTGAGGCGTTGGAGGTTTTCGTCAGTGCTGAGCCCTCTCAGGTGGACTTCGGTGCCTGTTCGTAGGTCCTTGCCACGTCCTCCCCTCCCCTGCCCTCTTCCCCCTCCTGACCATGGGACGCCGATCCTGCATTGAGAGCCTGCTTTGCCCGCGCAGTCCTGGTAAGCGCTGCTGCTTACCCGTGGGTGGCCCTGAGCCAGTGCCAGGACCTTGCGCTGTGGCGTACTAGGGGGAGCCTCTGCCTCCTGACCCCTGGTGGCCACTGGGGCAGGCCTGCGGGGGTGGAGGGCTCTGAGTGGTCACTCACCCTCGCAGCCGTCAGTGGCCGCTTGCTGTCCTCTGTGCCCACCATGCCAGATGCACTGGTGGCCACCCTTGGCACACACTGCTGGGGGAGATGGGACCCAGTTGGTGCTTGGATCGGGGCAAGTAGCCGGGACCAGCTGCCCCTTCCCAGGGGGTGGGCACCCTGGGTTTCCAGCGCCCGAGTCTAGGAGACCATAGCTCCCAGGTGGTCAGGGCCCAGGTCCTGCAGAGTCCTTTCCTGGGCCCCAGCCCCCTGGGGGATCAGTGGCATTCTCAAGAGGGGCTTCTGTGGAGAAGGCTGTGGTCACCAGGTGCTGGCCTCTGCCTCCTGTCCAGGGCCTTCCCCTCGGTGACAGCACTGGCAAGAGTATGTTTCTGACTGGGCAGCTCAGGTGACAGGTGGGGACGGTTGGCCACCCCGGTGCCACTAGCCACAGGTGGCTGTTTGATTCACAATCAGACTGAACTGACCCCTTCAGGTGGCCCTGTGGCTGGCGCCTCCCACCTTGGGCAGCCGCGAGGATGACGTCCAGGTGAAGCTGACCTAGCCTGGCAGCCCAGAGCCTCTGGGGAGGTCACCACCTGTCCACGGCCCAGGGTTGCCGCGGAGTTGGTCCGCTCGTGTCTGGGAGTCCCTTGTCATCACAGGCTGCGGCTGTGGCCGTCACTGCCGTCGTCTCGCCAGCAGGTTGCTCTGGGGCTTCCTGGTCCTCGCGGGGGTGCGTCCAGAGTCACAGAATGAGCTCCTGGCTCAGCCAGGCGGCCAGCTCGCTGGCGTCACCTCCCCTGGTCCTGGAGGGCTGTTCTCCAGTGACAGGAGAGGAGCACTGCTGCTGGCCGCGCGGCCTGGCGGAGTCCTGGCCTTGCCTGGCCGCTGTGTGGCCGTGGTGGGCCCCGGGCCTTCTCTGGGCCTGTTGCCCCTGCGGAGTGGGGGTCTGCAGTCCACGGGGTCACTGAGTCTCCACCTTCCAGACACTGGGTGAGGAGCCGGGAGGCCCCTGCTTGCCCCAGGCTGGACCGCTGCTCGCTCCTGTGTGCGTTTCCCTGCCAGGGAGGCTCACGAGGAGGCTGGGTGGGCGGGGCTGCTCAGGCCCGGCCCACTCCCCACCTGCACTGTCCCCAGCGCAGATGCACCCCGTGACTGGTTCCTCTTCCCTGATGTAAAAGTGAAGCCCGGGTGAGGGCCACGGGCCAGCTGGCGTGGGCAGCTGAGTGGGCATGGAGAGGCACAGGCCGAGGCGGAGGCGTGGGCTGGCTCTCCCTGGAGGAGTCACTTCACACCTCCATGGATTAGGAAGCCCAGCAGATGCTGAGGGACTCCCCTGCCCGCCAGTAGGTCTCAGGTGCAGGCTCCCTCTGAGGTCCTGGTCAGGCCTTTCAGCGTGGCACCAGGTAGCAGAGTGTGCTGTGGCGAGGAGCCTGCTGCCGTGGGAGATGCAGGGCCTCAAGTGTGAGCCAGGGTGACTGCCGCTGCTCCTGCCCTCTCCCCTGCCCTCCCAGTGTACCTTCCCCATCCCAGCTTCACACAGTTGGAAGCCTGCGCTGGGTGGGGGAGCAGTGACCAGATCTCTGGGCCCCTGGAGGTTTCTCCCCATTGCTGGATGGGCTGCGAAGTCAAAGTCCGGAGAGCTCACGGGTTCCAGAGGGAAGTGGGTAGGGCCTCGGGCAGCATCCTGTGGCCCTGTTGTCTCTGGGAGAGACCCCAGGCCCCTGTCTGCGCTCCAGGGCCTGGTGCTGGCTCCCCACCCGTCATTCCTCCCAGACAGTGGCCGCTCCTCGCCCTCCCTTCCTGGCCTCCCTTCCTGGCCTCCCTTCCTGGGCTCCCCAGTCTTTTCTCAGGGAGCGCAGATCTGGGGGCCGCAGCTCTGCCACCCTGGCCGTCCCTCCCCTGCAGCTCCTCAGCGCCCTCCTCCTGGACCCCTGGTTCCTCTCTAGCCCGTGGCCAGCACGATCTCCGGGAAACAGCTGGCTGGCCTCTCCTTGCCTGGCCTCTCCCTGGCCCTGTGCTGCCTTGGCATGGTCTTTGGCCAGCCCCCCTGATCTGGCCCTCTCCATGCTCGCCAGCCCCTGGTCCAACAGCGCGGTGTTTCTGGTCTCTGGACTCCTACCCCCTCCCTTCTCCTCCCTGTCTCCTCCGTCACCTGCAGAGGACCTGTCTTCAGAGCTCTCTGCTCGCAGCTCAGTGCTGCCCAGACGCCCCTTGCCCTGGCGCCCTGGCGCTCGGGCCCTGGGGACGCTGGGGCTGCAGTGCCTCCGTCCTCTCTGGTGGCAGACGTTTCCTGTGGACCTCTGGTTTTCATGCTTTGAATGCGATTTTTGTTGGCTTTATTTTGATTTTGCTCAGCTATCTTGCTTGTGGTTCTCTGAATGTTTTATATCCGTGGAGGCTTCTTGTTGTTTTGGAAAGATTCTTATCTTCTCGAATACTTCTCTACCCCCTCCTCCTTTTTGGGAGTTCCAGCCTGGTGCACCCCAGGCTGTTTGAGGCTGCTGCTGCCCCTCCCCTCCCTCTCCGCCCCTCCCCTCCCCTCCCGCCTGCTCCGCCTCCCCGGGAGGCTCCGCCCTTCCCCGTCCTGCTGCCCTGCTGAGTAGAGCTGGCTTCTGTGGCCTGCCTGGCCCCTCGTGGCTCACGGGGAGCAGGTGTGTTCGGCTTTCTGCACCCTGGATCAAGTGTCCCTAGTGGTCCCTCCTGGTGTCCTGACTGCCAGACAAGGTGCTGGCTCTGAAGCCTCCCCTTGAGGGCCGGAAGGCCTGGCGTCCTGCTCTGGCCCTGGGTGCTAGCGCTGCCTGGGGGCCAGCTGCTGTAGGTCAGCAGCCCTCACCTGTGGGGCGCCGCCCCCCCAGCAGCAGGACTCGGGCATCATTAGTGTGTCCCGGGGGGCCCCTGGAGGTTGCTGGGATGGCTGTCGGCCCCTCGGGAGGCACGGGCCGGGGTGGGCCTGTGAGCCGGCTCTGGTGGGCAGTCGGGTCACTGGGCTGCCTGCTCCTCCACTCCCCGTCCTCCTCTGTGTGGCGGACTCTGCAGAGCTGGGGACGGTGGGCAGTGTGCCTCCTCCTCCTCCAGGAGCGGGGCTGTCCCCTGAGGGAGGGAGAGCAGGGCGGGCAGTGTCTGCAGGGACCTCCATACGCCCCTCGGGCTGCTGCCGACAGGGAGCACCTGGCAAACGGGGGCCTCCAGGTCCCCACGGGGGTGTGGCCTCACCTCTGACCAGCTGCCTGGCAGCCTCCCTGATGGACCTACAGCACCTGCACCTGAGCCGGAGGGGAGCCGGAGGGACGAGGTTTGGGGAGCACATGAGGTGCCACGTGTCCAGGACTTGATGGCAGAGCGCCTAAATGGCTGCCAGGAGGAGGGCGACCGGCAGGGACCAGGGCAGGGACCAGTTCTGACCGCAGAGCTCTGGGAGTCAGGTGGGGTGGTGGCCATGAAGGGGTGACTGCCGGGGCGGGGGGGAGGTTCCTCCTCTGGGGACCAGGTGCAGAGGTGTGGGCATGGGGACCTGGAGCGCAGGTGAGGGCGGGATGCGGGCGTCTTGTGGCCAACCCCCCGTACACTGGGCCCCAGGGGAGTGCGTGGCTTCTGTCACTGACTAGTGGTGGCCCTGCCTGTCACTTCCCTTCCCCCCCCCCACAGGTCACGTTGCCCGGGCCTCAGGCTGGCGTCCTGCTCACATGCCCAGCTCCCTTGCGGCTCCCCTGCTGTGCGTTGGTTTGGCCTCTGCCCACCTGTCCTGGTCCTGAAGCTGCCTGTGGCTCCCCAGGACTGTCCGGTGGATTGAGTTCTCCTCCTGGAGAGTCCCCTGTCAGACCCTGTGAGACCAGGAGGACAGGAAGTGCTGGGCTCTGGGGCAGGGCAGGTCCCTGGCTGGACTGGGGAAGCCTTCTTGAGGACGGGGACCCACGGGTCAAGTCCCCGTTGGCCAGGCAGAGGGCAGCCTGCTGAAGGCTTGGGCCGCTGCGCTGGAGGAGGTGGAGGCCTGCTGGAGTCAGAGGCGGGGAAGAGGCAGCAGAGGCCGCCCTGGGTGCAGGTGGCCTCCCAGGCCCTGAGGGACCATGGTCAGGGGTGGGCAGCCTGTGCAGCCCCCACAGCTGCGGCTGGGTGAGGGACTGAGTGGTGAGAGCAGTCGGGGACTGCGGCGTGGCCCGGGGCAGGCCCCGCAGGGCTCGGCCGGGCTCTGGAGCCTGCACCTGGCCCCGGGTGCAGGTGCATAGGCACACACCTGGGGTGGACACCCCTGGCTCCAGTCCTCCTTTTCTCTGATCATTTTGTCAGGTCAGCTGGCTTTGTGCCCTCAGGAGGCAGGGCCTGTACCCTGCACTTGACCTGGGTCCCGAGGCCCCTGCCTTTGTGGCGGGCCGGGGAACAGGAGGAATTTGCAGCCGTCCTGGGCTGCTGACACAGTGGGGATGTTGTGACGGGGTGCAGGATGGGTCAGGGAGCCCTTGCTGGGAGGTGACATTTCAGTAGACGTGTAGAGGGGGCAGAGGTGCGACTGGGCTCGGGCAGGTACCACCAAATGCAGACAGCCCCACAGGAGGACGGGGCTTGGGCAGAGACAGGCTTGCAGCTCAGGACCTTGCCTTGGCTCCGGGAGTATGCAGTCTCCAGGGCTCATGGCCTGGCAGGCACCCTCACTTCCCCAGGTCTGTTGCTGTGCTGAAGGCAGGCGTGAAGGAGGGCGCACTGGCAGCAGCATGGAGCCACGTGGCTCATGCAGGAAGCGGTTCACATGGGAGAGGAGGGGTCAACTCAGCCCCAGTACACTTGGCTGAGGTCAGAGGCAGGTGGGTAGCAGCACTGCCAGTGTTGCCACCAGGTGGCCATTTGCTGAGGTGGGCGGTGTGGGCTGTGGCCAGGCCTCTGCTATGGCCAGGCACCTGGTGCTGCTCTGGGAAGCAGGGTCCACCTGAGACTGGCCTGCAGGAGTGGGGTGGGGTGAGGCCATCTTGGAGGGTGCTGAGGGCCGCGGTCTGGGCCAGAAGTGGGGAGGCACAAGGGACAGCACTGGGACCCCCAGAGTGAAGGGACCGAGTGCTAAGCTGGCCCCATCTGTTCTGCGGGTCCTGGGGGTGGTGGCGGTGGGTGGCCTGGCCCACGGGACCAGGGTGCCAGGAGCAAGGACACAGGCTGGAGAAAACATGCGGCCCCCTCCCTGGCAGTGCTCTGGACCCTCTGCTGGCTCCTGGGTGTGTCCCCCCGTCCCTGGAGGCCAGAGCAGGACTGTGCCCAGAGTAGGGGCTCATGCACCGCCGTGGGCAGGCTGGCCTCCACCTCTTCCTGCTCTACCCAGCCCTGAGCTGCTCTGTGGCCTGTGGGCGTAGCTGGTACAGAAGTGGGTTCCATGGGGACCTGCTGCCCCGGGCTCCACGGGGCGGGGGCGGGGCGCGAGCCTGCGTGGCCTGCAGGTGCGGCTGTGCAGAGGGGGGTCCCTCCACCGCACTCCCAAAGGTGCCTGAGGCAGGAGCAGGAAGCAGCCAGAGGCCAGGGCCCCAGGGTGGGGAGCTTGGGGGCCGTCAGGGTGGAGGAGCCAGGGCCCCTGGGGACCTTGGCAAAGGAGGTGCCTGGGCCTGGGTTGTGAACACCGGGAAGCTGTAGAGGGTTCTAGGTTGGGGACGCTGAATCTGTGATGTGCTGTTCATCCCAGAGGGAAGGTCCCCAGATCCAGCAGGGGACTGTCCATGCTGGGTCGCTACTTTGTGAGGGGAGTCCGTCAGCAGTCTGTAGCCCATGGGCGCGGGATCACGGTGGACACCCGGCGGGTGTGAAGACCTGGCTGGCAGTTCTCCCTGACCCTGGGCCCTCCTGCATCAGCTGAGAAAGTCAGCCCTGGAGGCTCCGGATCCAGAGGCAGGAGCATCCCTCCCCTCTGAACTCCAAGGGAGCGGCGACACCCAGGTCACCTGCCGCAGTGGGGCTCAGGCTGGAGTGCTGTGTCCGCAGACTCAACCTGCTCCCTGGGCCGAGGTGCTGCCCGCCTGCAGGGCTGGCCCGGACTTGCCTGAGTGCCCCTCTGGCCTCTCTCCCCAGGCACAAGCCTGCTGCAGGAGGTTGTCTACCTGGTGAGCCAAGGGGCCGACCCCGACGAGATCGGCCTGATGAACATCGACGAGCAGCTCCCGGTCCTGGAGTACCCCCAGCCAGGCCTGGACATCATCAAGGTACTGCCTGCACTGGCGGCCCCAGCCCCTCGCGACCATGTCCAGTGCTTTGCAGTCACACCTGCTTAGTGGCAGTGGATGCTGAGGGGGTTCAGAGGGCTCTGGATGGAGGAGAGGAGAGAGCCCAGGTGGCCCCAGGTGGCCAGGAGAGGAACCCACAGGTCTGAGCCCATTACTGTGACCCTGCACCTGAGCAGGGTGTGGGTCCCCTTAGGTCAGGGCGTGTGCGAGAGAGAGGGAAGCAGATGCCGAGGGGCGGCAGGGAGGGTGTGGATATGGGGCCACCAGTGGACAGCAGGCTCTGGCCTCCCCCCGACTCCCCCAGCTGTTGAGGGAGCCAGGAGGATGGGTTTGCATCAAATGTTTGGTTTTGAAAATGGAATAAGCCCGCGTGGTGGCAACACAAGCCTGGAGTCCCAGTGACTTGGGAGGCTGAGGCACGAGGAGGCCAGCCTCAGCAGCTTAGTGAGACCCTGTCTCAAAATAAAAAACAAGAAATAAAGGACTGGGTATGAAATTGGTGTAGTCGGCCCCTGGGTTCAACCCCCAGTGCTCCTGGGGGGGAACCTGATGTGTATGTACGACTGTGTACACGTCTGTAGTGTGTTTGTGTATTTGTCCTCCCACGGGTCTGGGTCTTCCTCTCGCCACCTCTCAGCCACCTTTGAATTCCGGCGCCATCCCCTGAGCACTGCAGCTGCAGCTTTGGTCTCGCCTGCCCGCCCCCTGCCAGGTGGACTTTCTGCCCCCTGCCAGGTGGACTTTCTGGAACACAGATCTCAGAGAAACCCCACTGCACGCAGATCCCTCTGTGCCCTGCGGTGTGGGCCTGGGTGTGGGCTTCTCCCTGACTTGTCCAGGAGGCGCGCAGTGCGGCTGTGCTGGGAGCCGGCCCTGCCCGGCACTGGGCTGCGGCTGGGAGCTGGCCGGATCAGCTCACAGCCTCATGTAGGAAGAGACAGGAAGCCTTAGTAGTTACCATGGTCATCAGCACTAGAGGACAGTGGGTCAGGAAGGGACAGGCTTGGCGTCTCCTTGGGGGCTGCTTAGAATGGTCCAAAAAGAGAGGAGCAGAGGGACCAGGGGCACAGAGACCCCATGGCCCCAGGAGCCTGGCTCCTGAGCAGGGAGCGGCTGGGGGGCTGCCTGCAGCAGCTGGGGGGCTGTGGGCGCCAGATCCCAGGTCTGTGAGCCCCTAGGGGGCTGGTCTTGTTCCTGGGGTGACAGGGAAGGGGTCCCTGCATGGGCACGGGAGCTGGAGATGCTTCCAGGGTTGACCCGCCCACCGTGTGGAGAAGGGCTGGGGGCAGGTGGCCGCGCGGGGCTGTTGGCTGGAGGCTCGGGTCTGGCGCCGGCCCTGCTGGCCTGTCCTAGGCCCCTCCGGGCTGGGTGGGCCGCTCCTGGGTCTCTGCGTGACCTCTGTGGCTGTGAGAAGTCATCTCATCAGGCTGAGGGCGGGGGCCCTCATCTCTGCCCGCAGGGTCCAGCCTGATGGGGGCCATGTCTGGGAGAGAAGTTGGCCAGGTGATGTGGTGGGTCCTGCTCTGTTGGAGACCCCTTCCTCCTGGTCCCCTTGGAAGGGCCCTTAAAAAAGACAAACGACGGCTGTGCCTCCCCCAGAACTTCTCCTCTGCCCGCAGGAACTGACGTCTCCCCGCCTCATCAAGAGCCACCTCCCCTACCGCTTCCTGCCCTCCGACCTCCACAACGGTGACTCCAAGGTAACCCGCCATACCCTCCTTGTGGGTCATGCCATAGCTGCGCCACCCACTGGCCTGGGCTCCCCTCGGAACCTCAGCCACCTGCATCCGGGGACACAGCCCTTCACCCGTGTTTTAGCTGGTCTGCCTTTACGGCGGAGCAGTGCGTGTCGTGTCCCCTGGCGGCTGCCGCCCTGTGCCCTTCTCTGCCTCCAGCCTCCCTAGTGTGCTGCGTTCTGAGGCCCGAAGTTCTTGTCGCCAGCCTCACATTGTAACTTTCCTGATCTCTGTTTTAAAGTGGTGTGGAGGACAAAAGGGCAGCCAGTGCTCAGTACTTACCCGGCAAGCACTTCGCGGGCAGGAGCCCATCTCTGGGCAGAGTCCCCGCCCACCCTGGCCTGCGGAGTGGTGTCGGTTCAGAAGGTGCAGTCGGCCTGGGAGGGGCCTCTGCTCACCGTGTTCCTCTGCCCACAGGTCATCTACATGGCTCGGAACCCCAAGGACCTGGTGGTGTCCTACTACCAGTTCCACCGCTCGCTGCGGACCATGAGCTACCGGGGCACTTTCCAGGAGTTCTGCCGGAGGTTCATGAACGACAAGCGTACGTGTCCCCTTCGGGGTGCAGTGCCCGGGGTCGGTCACCCCGGAGGGTGCCAGTGCTCACAGCTCCCTGGGAACCTTAGGTGGCCTGTCTCCCGATGGTGGTGGAGCTGCCGGGTGGGCCGCTGGCCGCGTGCTGAGATGCCGGGGCTGGGACGTGGCAGTGGGTCCTGGGACTCTAGAGCCCTGCTCCCCACCACCCTGTTGGCGCTTCCGGGAGCCCCAGTTCAAAACCCCTTCTTCCTGCGTGGGAACCAGACGGGTGGGAACGGAAACAGCAAACCCAGAGGCTACAGTGTCACTGCCGCTGGCCATGGGCCCTGGAGAAGGCTGCAGCTAGATGTGACCTTCATGTGGCCTTCGGCTGGACCTCAGGGACAGGCAGGTGATGGGGTAGGCCCTGTGGTGGGACAGTGCCCTGTGTGGAAAGCTGGTGTCCCCAGGGAGCAGGTGTGCAGGGCTAGGGGAGTGGGCTGTGACCCCACCACGGCTTAGGACAGGGAGGAACAGCCCTGTCTTCACGGTTTCCTCTGCCCTCGCTGACCTCGCTTCTCTTTGCTGTCGGGCCACCTGTCCCCTTGGGTGGTAGCAGCAGCTCCTGGTACAGATGCGCTCCCTCCTGCCCAGGCCTCCACAGCACGGGCAGCTTCTTTGGGTGTTTGGGGCCAGCAGGTGGCCACCTGGGACTGTACCCAGAAGTCTGGAGCCGGGCCAGCTCCCACTGGATTCACCCACACTGGGCTGTGCTGCACCCCAGGCAGAGAGCACCCTCTCTGTTTGTTCCAGCAGAAGTACCTGGGAGCCCCTTGTGGGGGTTCTGACGAGATCAGGATGAAGCCTGTGACAGAATCCAGGAACATGGAGCCCAGGGCAGCAGGCCTGGAGCGTCCCCAGGCCTGGCTGAGGGCGAGTCCCTCCGAGCCTGCTGCTCACGCATTCAGCTGCTGGAGCCTGAAAGTTCAGAGCGGTTTTGTTTCTTCCCAACGGATCTTTGCTTCAACTACACCTGTGTAGCAGGGTCCCTGCCCGACAGGGTAGGAGGTGGCAGCCCCTGCGCCCCAAGGCCACCTGAGCCTGCCATAGGGCCTCCTTTAGCTTCCCTGGGCCCAGCCTGCCCAGCATCTGAGTAGCGGCTCGCTGAGTGGCCACCCCAGCAACACGCGCTTTGGTCTCAGCACGTAGCCCTGTCCTGTAGAAGCCTGGGGACAATGCCCCAGTGACAGCCTGCCAAGTTCAGGCCACTGCTCGGCAGAGCAGGCAGAGGCTGTCCCGATGCAGACCTCCCCCATCAGGTGGCAGCCCCACGCACCCAGCTCGAGGCCACGCTGGGTGCTGCACGCCATCGAGTGACTCGGATCCCCAGCTGGTGTGCGACAAGGGCACACAGGTTTTCCCTGGGTTCTAAACAAGTTGGAAACACATGTGCGGGGCATTAAAATGACACCGTTCCCTGGTAGACAGATGGCAAAGGTCGAGCATCGTGTGAGGGTAAGACAGTCCCTGAGAAAGGCCCCACACGAGGGATTTGTGGCCTGAGATTCCAGGGGTGAGGGTCCCTGCCGGGTGGTGTGCAGTGTGGAGGGGCTCTGTTGACCGGCTCCCTGTTTCACAAGGCTGGGATCTGTGGTTGCAGTTGCTGTGACACATGTTCTGGGGGACACTCTGGACCGGGTCACTGACATTCTGGGGAACATGCTGGACAGGGACACCTGCTTGGGGACACAGGACAGGGCCACCATGACACATGCAGTGCAGAGAATGCTCTGGATGGGTCACTGTGAGGTGCAATGTGGAGACTCTGGCAGGGTCACTGAGGGGCAGTGGGGACATTCCTGGGTGGAGACAGTGGTGCATGGTGACTTCCCACCAGTCTTGGGTCTCTGCCCTGCAGACGGAGGGGAGCTGGGAGGCCCTGTGTGGCGGAGCTCCCTCTCCTGGAGCAGCGTGGAATAGCAGGACGGGCTCTCAGCTGCCCCATGGCTGCCGGACCCAGTCAACTGTGCTGGCTTCCCCGGGGCTTCTGTGCAGCTGCGTGTCCCCAGAGCAGATGTGGGCTCTTCAGAGTTCACACACCATCTCTCCTGGACAGAAGAGGGTCTCCTCCATCTGTCCTTTTCACAGTCATTTGGCCGTTGCTTCCACCCAGCACCTGCTCAGCCTTGACTCAGTTCCAACTAGTGGCCTAGGTTAGGTGACCAGGTTCCTGCATCCTGTCTCCTGTGACAGTTGATGTCACTGCCCTTTTCCAGGACTCACCTCTTTTTCTGTAGAAGGAGCAGAGGTGGGCCCTGTGTGTCTGCCAGCGTGTGCTGGGCCCTGGGCAGCTGCCCCACCACAGGTGGCCTGGAGGCCGGGGTCCAGCTAGGAGGGATCTCTACAGACCCTCCCTCTGCAGCTGCTTCCTGCTGCTTGGTGGGGTCAGGGTTCCTGCCAAGGCTCCCAGGCTGAGCTCTGACATCAGTGCCGTTGGAAGTGCACTGCAGAAACCCGGGGAGGGACAGGTGGGGCAGCTTTCAGGGGCCGTGCACACGGGGATGTACTGTGGCTGGTGCACAGTGGTGCATCCCTCACCCCTCTGGTGCCCGGCCCTGCCCTGCCCAGCCCAGAAGTGCTTGGCCCCTGGGTGGAACCACGGTGTGGGCTGGCTGGGGCTTCTGCCTCTTCAGTCCTCGAGGACCCCTCCAGGACTCCTGTGTTCCCTCAGCACTCAGCCTGCGGCATGGTCTGTGTCCTGTGTCTGAGCCCTCTCTGCTCTACCCCACCAGCGACTCTGACTGGCTCTCTTTCCTTCCCTGGCATCGTCCTCCCTCTGACATGTGCTTGGTGGGGTCGAGGCTCCCAGGCTGGAGTCTCTGTCCCAAGTCCCCACCCCTAGCCAGGTCCCCAGCCTGCAGAGGCAGCGCAGGCACAGGTGTGGCAGGAGAAGCCTGCCTAGAATATGGGGTCCAGGGGCTCCTGGTGGCTTGCCCGCGGGTGACTGTCACCCCTAGAGTTTGCTCTGCCTTTGCTAGTCTGTGTGTGGTGGTGGGGGGGGCGTGGCCTGCATCCCCTCCAGCTGAGCTCACATGTCCTGTGTCCACAGTGGGCTACGGCTCCTGGTTTGAGCACGTGCAGGAGTTCTGGGAGCACCGCATGGATGCCAATGTGCTCTTCCTCAAGTACGAAGACATGCACCGGGTGAGTGCTGGGGACGCCGTGCCTTGGTGTCGCTGCCCGCAGGGGCTGTGTGGTGTGCGGAGCTGGCTCGGGCTGCCTGTGGGACGGGAGTCTGCACTGGGCTGCCCTCCAGGTCTGTCTCCCTGCGTCTGTTTCTTTCGGACCATTGCCCTCATGCGGCCGGCTCTCCCGCGCCTGCCATGGCCAGCGTCATGTCCCTCGGCTCTGTCCCCTTGGGTGGTCGCCAGGCCCCTGCCCGCATGTCTAACTACACCGGCTCCTTGCTCTTCTTCCAGTTGTTCTGCCAGCTGCCATTCTGAGGTCTTTATGTGGCTCTACCCCCTCCAGAACGTTCTCCAGATACCCACGTGCCACGCACTCACCTCTGACAGGCGCTGCTCTTCTGCCCCTCCCTCCCAGACCCTCCCTGGTCCACTGCAGTTTCCCCAGTGTCTGTTACAGTTGGGGTCTCAGAGGTGGGGGGGGTTCTGTGGGTCTGTCCGTCTCTGACATGGCAGCTCTCTAAGGTATATGTGGAGCCAGCGCGTGGCCCTCCCAGGTGGACGGCTCTCATCCTTTCACCCTGGGCTCCTGGGGCGAGGGGCTATGTGAGGGTGGGTTGTGCTGTCGCAGCCTGACCTGTGTGCTCCTGACCTCTGCCCCACAGCCCAGTGTGTTCCAGTGGACGCGGCTGCCCCTGGGGCTGGCGGAGAATCTGGGCGGGGTGCGCAGGGCCAGGCAACCAGGCTGAGCAGAGGGGTGCGTTTCCTGTTGTGTTCGGAAGGGTCCCCGTGGTTAGTGGTGGGGATTGGAGCAGGAGGAGGCTGGACTAGAGAGGCCTGTGTGGAACTGGACCTGACCTGGAGTTCTGGAAGGAAACACGGAGGAGGAGGGGGGCGGCCCTGGGTGAAGGTGAGGCGGTCACGTTTGGCTGTGTTGAGTTTGGGGGATGGTGGAACCCCAGTAGATGGCACTGCAGGTGGCTTCTTGGCTTGGGAAGAGGTTGGGCAGAGATTGAGAATTGGCGGGACCAGTCATGTGGTGTCCGTCTGCCTCCCAGAGCCCCTGCCCTCACCTGTCCCTTTCCCCAGTGACTCTGGCCTGGGCCCTATGAATTTGGGGTCAGTGGGCGTCAAGAACCAGGCTGCTGCAGAAGTGGGGTCGGTGTCTAGGTGCTGGGGTCCGCCCCTACAGAGGGCCACCAGCCTGTCCAGGGGAGGCCGCAGAGCAGGGCAGCAGGCTGACAGCCCTCATTCCCTGCTGGACGACTGCACCCCAACCAGGGTTGCAGAGACCAGCAGAAGGCCCCCGCTGCAGAGTCTGAGCCAGTGGTAGGATCTGAGCCGAGTGGGACCGTTTGTGAGGCAGCAGCATGTACTGCTGTAGGGCCTACTCGTGACCCTGGTGTGTGCAGAGAAGGTGTGGTCAGGAGCTGGACAGCTCTGGAAGGAGCAGCCTCGTGAAGCCAGGGGAGAGCAAGGTTAGCGGTGCAATTGGGAACCAGGAAGTGGTGTGTGCGGAGGGTGTGGCTTGGTGACTGGGGCCTGGGCCCTTGGCCGTGGTGGTGACAGGCATGGAGGAGGGCTGCTGGTGGCCTGTGTGAAGCCTGGGTCAGGGGTGTCTGCCGTAAGCTGTACTCCAGTCCAGGTGTCAGGAGAGGACGGGGTGGAGAAGGACTGCGCAGGGGGACGTCCCTTGTCTGGGGCAGGACAGGCAGGAGACACCGTCACCTGGGAGAGCAGAGGAGGGACAGGGTGCAGGTGTGGGCCGCAGCCTGAGCCAAGGCCGGGCCTGATGTCGGTGCAGTGGACAGACAGGGCCAGGCTGTAGGGCCTACTCGTGACAGCAGCTGACAGGACACATAGACAGGTCTAGGGTGAGTGGCAGTAGGATGGGGCCAGGGAGGAGGGCAGGCCGCTGGGCGCCAAGAGAGGAGAGCTAAGTCTGAGGGCTGAATCAGCATGAGGGACAGTGACGAGGGCCAGGTCTGGAATCCCAGGGCCCTGGGCCAGACCACGGCCTTACCGCATACTTACGGGAAGATTCCAGGTGGATCAGGAGCTGCTTGTGAACAGAAACGCGGGAGAGCACCGTGGGCGTGGGGTGGGGAGCGCATCATGCATCGGCACCGCAGCCCCTGGGTCCTCGGCGCACGTGCCCCTGGGCACTGAGGCCCGTGGTCCAGACGGCCTTTGAGGCTCGCTTGGCTGGCAGGGAGGAGCCCATTGTGCATCTGCTGCTGCTGGGGCTTCCCTCAGGTCCCCTCACCGAATCCCGCACACCTCCCGAGTCCTGGTGAGCAGGCCAGCCGCTGGGTCTAGCTGAGCCGAGGAGTCTGAAGCGCCCTCCCTCTTGGGGTGAGGATGGGGTGGTGGTGGGCAGCGAGGACCAAGTGCCACCCCACTACTGGCCTGGACATGGGACATGGGCTGCTCAGGCGCGGGTCGTGGCCGCATCACCCCTGTGGCATGGTGTGTGGCCTCATCTCCATGCAGGGTGCTGCAGGGCCTGCCTGGCAGCCGTCAGCCACTCAGGTAATGTCCACTGTTCCGAGTGCCTTTCCTGAGGAGTAACTTGGGTACAGCAGATCTACAAATCATGGCTCACAGCTTGCCAGCTTCTGCATGTGACCTCAGTGTCACTGCCCAGGTGTTTCCAGAGGGAGCACCATCTGGCCTTCCTCACCCTGGCTTCCTGCATCTGAACCCCTGCAGCGTCCAACTCTTGGGCCCTGTGTGAGTGGCAGGCGTTCATCCTGTCACCCCCGCGGTGTCCGTGTCGGTGTGGACGCTCTGTGGTCTACCATTCAGCCTGGCCCAGTGTTGTAGCCGCTTCCTTTCTGGGGAGGCTGACTAAGGCTGAGGTGTGGCTGCTGCTCTTCAGTGCTCTTGTCATGGGGCCTGTTCCTAGGGAGGGGTTCCTGGGGTGCTGGGCCTGTGTCTGCCAGCTGCTTCTCCCAGTGCCACCGGGGACATGCAGTGGGAGCAGCCACCACCCAGGCTGGCGAGAGAGGACTCCCTCCTGGTGCAGGGAGAGCCCCAGCCCGGCCAGATGCACACACATCTGCAGGGTGGCTGCTGGCCGGCAGGTTCTTCCTGAAGCTTCTGCTACTCAGAGGTGAGCACTGAAAGCACCTCAGCCACAGACCACCAGGGAGAACAGTGCAAGTTCTTTTGAGCTTAAGTCTAAATGCAGACCTTTGCCCTAGGCTGCTTAAATACCCCTTTCCTGGGCATCTCAGTGCCACTCTGAGCCCATCAGAGTTGAGACCTCCTGCCTGTGCTTGACGGGCAGGGTGTTCTGGCAGAGCCAGTGCCCTCGTCTGGTCTTGATGGTCCGTCTGTCAGCTTGGTTTCAGTTGCTGTCATGAAATACCTGAGGCTGGGGATTCTGTCTTAAAAAAATTTGTTTAGCTCATGGTTTATTTACTTGTTTCTGTTTACTTTTTTTGAGATCTCACTAAATTGCCAAGGCTGGCTGTGAACTCGAAGTCCTCTTGCCTCAGCTCCGAGTAGCTGGGATCATGGGTGGGCGCCACTCAGCGCCTAGCTCAGCCTAGCTCAGTTTTGGCGGTTCAAGGGTGAAGCGCCTGCATTGGCGTGGCTCTGAAGGCCTCTTGGCAGTGGTGAGAGGAAGGGTGCATGTGGGAGGACAGGAGACCCGAGAGTTAGGGCTCTGCCCTGCTCATGGGCAATGACCCTTTTGCTAGGACTGATGGGAGTTCTGCCAGAGCTGCTTCGGTTCCTTCTGGGGAGAGCACCCTCGTGACCTGGTTACTTCCTCCTGAGCCCACCTCGTCGCCCCCAGCACTCACTGAGCCCCAAGCTCCCCACACAGGCCTGGGGATGCCCTCAGGCCACCGCAGGTGGCACTTGCAGCCACCGGTTGGTGTGTGGTGGTGCCTCTCCCAGAGCCGAGTCGTGGTCTGGGAGTCCGTGGTCACATGTCAGGGGTCCGCGCTGCTCACTCCTTACTCCAGAAGAGCGACCCTGAGCCCGAGACTGGCCTGTTCTCCCATGTGTTCAGTGGTTAGGTCGTGCCAGAGCACTCACTGTGTGCCAGGACCCCACGTCCCCCTGCCTGCCGCCACCACCTCATGATTTTTAGGCTTTGAGTACCTGGCACTGGGACAGGTGTCCAGGGTGTCACCCCACCCCACCCATGCAGTCGGTCTGCGGGGTGTTCTCACCAGGTGTGGCCAGACACTCCGGACCGGGATCAGGTGGCGAGCTAGTGCCAGCAGTGCTGGGAGTGACCCCGACACAGGGTGCTGTGACAGGTGCCAGGCCTCTTCCTGCAGCCCACGGTGGCGGGTGCTGCCATCCCTGGTCTCAGGTGGGGAGTGCAGCTGGCAGGGTGAGCCACCGGGGCTGCTGCAGCAGGAGGCTGCCCAACCCCACCGTCCCATGCTCTGCTTTGTACCAGAGCAGCCACCGGCCTTAGCTGGATGCAGGCCAGCAGAGGTGCCCCGAGTGGACGGGTGGCCACACGGGTGCGGCGGCTGAGGCTCCTGCTGATGCTCCAGCAGGCGGTGCCAGGGCAGCCTCCCCAGGATCTCTTCTTCCTCCCTAGTGCTCTGCTCCTTATGGGGGGGACGGGGAGAGGGAGAGAGGGACAGTGAGAGGGAGGGGAGGGACAGTGAGGGAGGGAGGGAG